AGGAACAGTTGCTGGTGCTGATAACACACTTCCCACTCAGCAGTTCTCACAGTCCCCCTGTCCCCCTGATTGCTCTCACTTCAGTCTTTCCTGGATTGGGTTGAACAGGTTCTTTTTTATTCCGGTTTCTGTTCAAAAGTCAATGTCTTTAATGTAGTAGTAGTGGCATTGCAATAAATCTGATTTACCATATTATTCTGTGCTAATAGAGGGGGAAATGTAAATCAGGGTAAGAGGACTTAAAGCTAACTATTAATAAGAGTCAAGTAGTTTCTCAATTGAAACTTTCAGTATCAGATGCCTGAAAAAATAGAAGCCCTGCACCCTTGTCCTTTTTCCAAGTTTGTTATTCTCACTGTTTAACTTGGGTCCTAATCATATATCCTTGAAATGTGCATCCTACATTCAAACTTTATCTGAACCTTGTGTGCAAGCTAGCCAGTTTGAATAGTCATTGAATAGGTGTTTACACAATTACAGTGACTGGTGTTAAAATAATTATTTATGAAGTTGTAGTCTCACTTGGTAAATATTGTCTTTTACTAGTTGACCACTTCAGGTATGCATATTCCTGTATAATTTTAGTAACAACTGAAGACTAGCTGGTACAGGTAGCATATCATCATGGCACGCTTGCACCAGTGCTGTAAAAGATGATCAGATCTGTGTTTGCAGAACAGCACCTCTTTCACAGAGCTAGATTCAACATCTTCATTCAACTCATGAGATTTGCTCAACTCTTATTTAGTTACAGTCATAGTAAGGTCAGAGGGGACCTGAGCAGATCATCAAGTCCAACCCCCTGCCATGGCAGGAAAGAGTACTGGGGTCAAATGACCCCAGCAAGGTGATTGTCTAGCCTTGTGACCGTTATTTCTGGTCACTCCTGGTAGTGCTTGGGGGAACAGGGACTCCCCCAATGCCTGCTGGTCCCTTCTGACTAGTTTGTAACAGGCCACTAGATCCTCCCTCAGCCTTCTCTTGTGGAAGCTGAACAGGTTCAGGTCCCGTAGCCTCTCCTTGTAGGGCCTGCCCTGCTGCCCCCGATCATGCGAGTGGCCCTCCTTTTGACCCTCTTCATGTTGTCCACATCCCTCTTGAAGTGTGGCACCCAGAACTGGACGCAGTACTCCAACTGTGGCCTGACGAGTGTCGCACAAAGGGGGAGGATCACCTCCTTGGACCTGCTCGAGATGCATCTATGGATGCATGACAAGTTGCAGTTGGCCTTCCTGACTGCATCCCCACACTGCCATCCCATGTTCATCTTGGCATCAGTGATGACTTCAAGATCCTTTTCTGCCTCTGCACTGATGAGAAGGGAGTTCCCCAGCCTGTAGGTATGGTGCTGGTTCTTCCTCCCCAGGTGGATCATCTTGCACTTGTCAGTGTTGGATCCCATCCTATTCTCATCCGCCCACCCCTGTAACCTGTCTAGGTCCAATTGTAGCCTATTCCTTCCTTCTAACGTGCCCACATACCCCCACATCT